GCTTGAGCCCAGGAGTTGGAGGTTGCTGTGAGCTGTAATGCCATGGCACTCTACCCAGGGGGACAGCTTGAGGCTCTGTCTCAAAAAAAAAAACAACAGACACATGGCTGGGCGCAGTGGCTCACATCTGTAATCCTAGCACTCTAGGAGGCTGAGGCAAGTGGATCCCCTGCGCTCAGGAGTTCAGACTAGCCTGAGCAAGAGTGAGACCCTGTCTCTACCAAAAATAGAAAAACTAACTGGCATGGTGAGTGCTGTGAGCTATGATACCGTGGCACTCTACTCAGGGTGACAAAGTGAGACTTTGTCTCAAAAAAAAAAAAAAAAAGCCCACATACAAATAATTTGCATTTAGTTTCTCCAGTTTTACCTGACTGAATGCCTGGAGCCAGTTTTAGATTCTGAGCACCTTTGCTGCATAGCATTGTACTGTGTGTTAGATAGTGCTTAAAATTATACATGTTGACATACATGCTAAAATTATTTGATAGTGTAATTTGACTTATGTGAAGGAAACTGAGTATAGCAAGTTTAGTTTAATGCTCATGGTCTTGATAGTTAGCCCAGACACATTACCACAGTTATTTCTAAGTCTATGTGAAATAAAAGGGTATTGACTGTCATCTGTTTTTAATAAACTGAGAATTTCAACGTCAAAGATTTGTATTCTGTACTAGTGCTTTGTAAACCAGGTTTGGAATCATAAAGGAGTATTGAAGTCAATTTAATGGGTCTGACTAGCATTATAACAAATGAAGTAGGCTAGGCGCAGTGGCTTATGCCTATAATACCAGTTCTGTGGGAGGTAGAAAAGGGTCAGGCCCAGGAGTTTGACCTATGATGATGCCACTGCACTTCAGCTCAGACAACAGAACAATATACCCTGTCTCAAAAGAACAACAAAAAATAAACAAATAAAAATAAACTAGACCAGAGGAGAAAAAAGTCATTTTGTATTATGTAATACAGTGTTAAGTATTTGATGAAACTTTTGCATAAATGTGTCTTTGTATGCATGCATGTATGCATACACAAATGTATTTTATTGAGGTACAATGTGAAAATATTTCTTTGTTGTTCTTTTTTTTTTTTT